ACTGGACTGTTTCACTGTTGTTCTTGGGCTGGGCCTGACAGGTCTCCACAATATCATACCTGACAGCGAGTTCCAAAATTTGGATTTGGGGTGGGGATGATAGAGAAGGGAATGGGAGTGATTTTAGACCTTAACTTAATAGCATACCTAATATCCTTACTTTTTATGCGTAGTTCTACAATATTTAGCTAATTATTTACTTGAGGCCATGTCAATACTGTTTTCCTCCTTCATATTGGATGTTGGCTGTGGTTATAAGAGATTAAAAATCCAGACTCCATAGCGCGGCATTCCCTTCATTGGATCCGTTGAAGGTTTACAAAAATAGTTGAACACTTTCAACTTTCCAGCAAGTCTTACCAGGCAAGGATTGTGGAGAAGAAAATATAGCTGGGGTACCAACTTGGAGAGGGGTTGTGGGGAACTTCTATAAATATCCAAATAGCCTGCTTCTTGTAACAGTAGAAACTGTATTAGATTGTACCAATATTCCCCCCCACACACACACCAAATTGCTGGGAAAAATAATTGACTCACCCCCTCCCCCATTCATCTTTTGAAATCAAATTTGTTATGGTCAAAGCTGCTCCCATATTTTCACAGGTCCCTTACTAAAGAGAAAATAGTAGTGAAGTTAGGCAAAGAAGAATCTGTTGAACAAACTCTTTAGTAGAATATTCTAGAAAATATCCTTCTCCAGTGCTAAACACTGGTTCTTAGGCTAAGCTTGGCTCAAGGGAATTCAGTGTGAGTTGAAGCTCAACTCTAGAATACATGATGTTAAGGGTGTTCCTCTGAGTATGTGTTTCCACTAAGCAGTGGGTAACCACAACTGCTCATGTAGCCTAACTGAGGTTTTAGGCAAGGTTAAATTGATACTCCTCTCTTTAGAAAATTAGCGATTGCCTTTTCTTAAGATGGAATTAAATATTTAAAAGAAACATTCTAGTGTGGGGTTACTAGAAACTAATATATGTGTAGTTAGCCCACAAGAAATCTATAACTGAAACACATCTGGAAATCACACGCTAAGATTCCCAGGCCTGGGGGTAGGGTGTTTGTGAAGCCCCTGGAGATTTATTTTGGTTGTTATTTCTATGGTTCTGTCTGGGTGTTCATATTTTTCTTTTTTATATGATGTATTCTTTTAAAACATATAACATAGGCAGCCATATGTGTTTTCAAAATAAAATAATAATAAAATATAAAATAAAATAAATTGTAAGCTGCCCAGAGTCCTTTTGGAGTTGGGAGGCCTTGAAAACAAGTCACTCAATAAATCTCTCCTTGTTTCAACATGAGAACTATTAGATTCAACATTTGCATTTTTCTTCATCTGTATTAAGAAGAAATTCTTTCTTGGAAGAAGATTACCAAAATTACCAAATCCCTGTGGATTATAGTAATATTACTGGAGAAGGGACAGATTTTATATGCTAAAATGCTAAACAGGCATAAAATCATATTTTTATGATGGAAAAGAACCACACTCATACATACCCCACCCATATATATAACCTGCCACCCTTTAGAAGTGTTGAGACTGCAACTCATATCACCAACCCAAAAGGTGACTCTGGGTGGCATACAATAAAAAATATATAAGACACTGATATAAAAACTATTAACATAATTTTAAAATTATGATTAGAGGGCAAAGAGAGGGCAACAGATATTAATAGCAATGGAGCCACCTCAGCAACTCACTGTTCCCCAGGCCTGATGACATAACTAAATTTTGAGGGATTTCAAAAAATTAACAGGGATGGAGCCAACCTCACCTTAGGGAGATGATGTTCCAAAAGGCCCATCTCCTGGGTCCCATCAGATGTAGCTCCTTAGGAGATGGGACCACAAAATACCTCTTCTGCCAGATCTGATGAGATGGGCAGATGTAATTGGGAAGAGGCGGTCCCTCAAATAACCCAGACCCATGCCATGAAGGGCTTTAAAGGTCAGAATCACCACCTTGAATTGGACCTGGAAGCAAACTGGCAACCAATGTAGCTCACAGAGCACAGGTATAACATGTGCTGTTCTACGGGCATACATAACTGCCCATGCCACTGCATTCTGCACCAGCTGAAGCTTCCGGATACTCTTCAAGGGCAGCCCCCTCTAGAGTGCATTACAGTAGTCCGATCTGGAGGTGACTAGGGCTTGAGTGACCATGAGCAGAGCCTCCCGATCCAGAAACGGATACAACTGGCGTATAACATGAAGCTGTGCAAAGGCATCCTAGCCATGGCTGCTACTTGCTCTTTGAGTAGGAGTCACAAGTCTGGAAGAAGCCCCAGGTTGTACGCCAGGTCTGTTTGGGGCAGTGCAACTCCAACCAGCACCAAAGATGATATAGTCCCAGAACCGATAGGCCCCGAAACCCAGAGCCACGTAGTCTTCCTGGGGTTCGGTTGAAGCCTGTTGTTCTCCAACCAGACCCTCACAGCCTCCAGACACTGGGATAAGACATCAACAGCATTGCTTAGTTCACCAGGGGCAGAGACGTATAATTATCGTCAGTGTACTATGATGCCTCACCCCATGGCAGCGGATGAGCTCACCCAGTGGGTTCATGTAGATGTTGAATAGCAGCAGAGAGAGCACTGCACCCTGTGGCATCCCACACAGTAATGGCCAAGGGTGGGATCTCTCCACCCCACTCACCACCAACTAGTATCGACCCCAAAGAAAGGAGGCAAACCACCACAATACCATGCCAGGATAGCATACACATTCTGTGTCTGTGGAACACAGCAGACAAAGCAGCTGGTTTCATTCATGAATTGTCTAATGCCTTATTCTAATAGTAAATGCTGGCTTGTCCTCCATCTGATTAGCCTTCATGGTTGAGACTGCATATACACATTGTATACTGATTCTATACCAAGGGTGTGCATTTTGAAAGGCCCTCTATCATGCATAATTGAACACGAAGTATAGGCTCTATAATTCTCTGGATGTACTCTAAGTTGTCCCTTCAGGCCTTCCAATGATGCACCCATCACCTCTGTAATTGAGTCAATTCACCTAGCTGCTGGTCATCCTCTTTTTCTGTTTCCTTCCACCTTTCCCAGCATTATAGACTTTCCAAGAAAGCTAGATCTTTACATAATATGCCCAAAGTGTTATAATTTGAGCCAGGTCATTTGTGCCTTGAGTTAGATTTGTTCTATGATCCATTTGATTGTTATCTTGACTATCCATGGTGTTCTCAGGAGTCTTCTCTAACACCAAAGTTCAAAAGCGTCAACACTCTTCCTATCCTGCTTCTTCAGTCCAGCTTTTGCTTCTATACAGCGTCACAGGGAATACCATGGCTTGCACAATTCTGATATAGACACATCACAGCATCTGAATATCTTTTCCAAGGCCTTCATTTCTACTCTACCAGATACTAATCTGTGGTGTAATTCTTTACTGCTAGTTCCTTTACTGTTGATAACTGATCCTAAAAAGGAGTAGCAATTCACTTCAGTGTCTTCATTGTCAATTTGAAGTCTGGTTGTCATTAGCTTGGTCTTTATATTTAATTGTAGTCCCCGTTTTCACGGTGCTCCTTGACTTTCATTAGTAGAACTTGTAGATCATTCGCATTTTCAGCTACTGGAGTAGGGTCATCAACATAGGGCCAGGCTATTTGCTGGAGTAAATAAAGTGTATACACTTTGGAGCTGTGGTGACTTAAGGAGGAAAATCTGATTGTGTTCTGGCACACAAAAGATCAGCATAAGACAGTTTAAACTTAGACTGGGGTGTCAGCCTTTCCAGGTAGACCAGACAGGAAACACGACCAGATGAGCTAATTCTACTTTATTGTAAGGCTACATTAACAGAATCTTGCAAGTCTGAAAGTACAAATCTCCCCCCATCTCCTTTACAGCCTGGGAAACACGACCAGATGAGCTAATTCTACTTTATTGTAAGGCTACATTAACAGAATCTTGCAAGTCTGAAAGTACAAATCTCCCCCCATCTCCTTTACAGCCTGGGAAGCGAGGGAGGGTCCCTTCTGAGCCTCTTTCTCCTCTCATTATGCAGCTGCAGGCTATGCCCTCTCTTATTTGTTTGTCCCCTAGGCAGTATCTCTTTGCCCCTCTTTCAAGGTCTTTCTCACATACCATTACATGGGGTGAGATAAAGCCAGGATCTTTTGTTCAGAGGTGCACTAGGAAGTCCCCGGCATTCAAGTGCTGATACAAACTACCAATTACAGAAGGCCCTTGGAAGGAACTGAATGGCAAAGCCTAAAGCTTGTGGCTTCCCTTGGACTAGGTTGGAAAAAGTGGGAAAACACTCCTTTAAGTTTTTAAACTGCTTTAAGGACAATTTAAGGCTGCCTTGCCTTTGGGCGGAGAACGACATGAAGGCAACGTCGCGGAGAAGAGCAAGAAAGATATCGCCCTGGCCCCGTTGCGGGTAGGTGCAACTAGGAAACGCTCTTCAGCTTGACTGTAACCAAACGAGGCTCAACCTGCTTCCTGTTTCGGGAGATCAGATCTCATTCAAGCAAAAAGAAGTGAGGCAAGATAAGGCAGGGCAAATTTTTCTCTCAGGGACATTCTAGGAAACGTCCCGTTGTTTTATCTCTGCCCGGAACCTTCACCTCCACCCAGTAGTCGTCCTCGCGCACCCCTCCCAATTAGTGGCCGGTATTCTGCTCCGCATCACTTCCTCCATCGGAGCAGCCCGCCGAGCGGTCGGGCGTGGAAACGGAGCGCTTCGCTGCCTTCGTCCCGGCGGCTCGCCTGCCCGCCCGCACGCACCGCCGCCTTGCTTGGGCACGTGCCCGGCGCGACCCCGCGCCCCCTCCCCCCCCTTCCCCCCCCCTCTTTTCCGGCC